CCTGTCAACAGACAGTGCAGAAGCAAGTCCGCACTATAGGATTTTCAGTTCCCCATCTGTGGTGACCCCTGCTCAGAGAGAGATAACTTCTGCTCCTCTTTACTTTCTATACCCCCATTGCACTTCTGGCCATACTCTTTACTCTTTCTCAATGTCCACAGGGCATGTCACTTACTGCACGCCTGTCTACAGGGTGATGTTATTGATGCTGACAGGTATTCAACATCAATAGGCCAGATCCATTTCACCAATGGGGTATCACCCTCTCCTTCCAGTTTGAATGCTCACTACCAACAAAACTTGACACTGAGACAACAGCATTGTGAGAACTCCTCTTCTCCATCTTGAGGCCAAGACAGGTCTTGTCAAGGCAGTCATCACTGTACAGCATCTTCATCAGAGACTCAATATTCAGGGGAGAGCAAGAGCCAAAGCATCTACCAGCACTGAGGTCTTTTGAAGTCTCAGCATCAACAGTTGGAGTGAAAGAACCCAAACTGCCCGGACTCAGGAGTGGAGACTGCTGCTTCTAGCAACCTGAAAGACAGCACAGGGTAATACCTGTGCAGGTAATACTTCCTCTTTGGAAGAGGAGAAGGATAAGTTATCACTGGACTTGATGTCTTTTGTGACCTCTCCTGACTCAAATGTGGGTGACTCATGTTGTGGATGGTGAGGTCCCTTCAGATTGATATCAAGAGGCTATCACCTATGGGTTAACCCTTTTATTTGATTCAATTAAATACTGCTCCTCTGATCCAGTTATTACTCCTGCTATCTATTCTTGAGGAGTCGTGGCAGAAATCTTTTACCCTGCCTCCAACATCTTGAAGGGTTGAGAATCTTTACATGGTGTAGGATGAGGAGGCTCAGTTCTTTTTTAAACATCTGAGGCCTAAGTCTCTTATGTGTCCAGACCCAATGTAAAGAACGAAAGCATATCACCCTTGTCAACAGTGATGGGCAAAAGATGGATCTCACTGACCACCCCACTGGTTTTTAGAGTGGTGAACTACCAGGCCTATCACCATTTTCTTTGAGAGAAGCTGAATTGCTTACCAGAGATCAAGAGAATTCTGGCTCTGACTTTCCAGCAGGAGGCTCTCTCCTTAGCTGCTCACCAGGCCTACTCAGTGTGTCATGCACAGCAAAAACCATGTGGTTCTCCATCACTATGTTTGGTTCAGATTGACAGGGATTTTGGAAGAATCTTGCACTTGCATCAAGGATAGTTTCTTTGACAGGGAAGGCCTTTTCAATGAAAAAAAACTGGTGATGTGATGGAAAACCTGTACAAAAAGAGAAATACAGCAAAGCCAGTATAAACCGCAGTGGCAGCATTCTCAACCTTAACATTCCTTCAAGCCTTTAATTGACAGGGCTCACAAATCGTCTCAGCCATCTGTGCAGTTCAGCTAGCCTTCCACATCTTATTTTCAGTTCAATTTGTCCACAATACCTAAAAGATTGGAAAAAAGCCCAAGCAGGAGTTTTGGTTCTTTCATTACCAAGACTAAGAGCTGAGTCATGTCCCTTTCCACTCCCTACCCTTCTACCCTTGCACCTTATCTCAACACCTGGTGCTTCATTGCCACAAATAATTGGGTCCTGCCCATCATCATGCAGGACTATAACATGGAATTTTCCACTCTCCTTCTGACAGACCATGTTCATGTCACACCACCATCAGAGACTTTGAAAGAAAAAATTCAAGTTAATCCAGAAGGATACCATAATACCAGCCCACCCTGGCCTCAAGCATTTGTGATTTATATTCTCAGTACTTCACAGCCCCAAAGAGAGATGGGAAGGGGGTGTTAATTGCAATTCTAGACCTCAAGGGTTTTAACTCCTACATCCGTCCCCAGAAGTTTTGCATGGTGACACTGGTGGTTATACTACCTTTATTAGATAAGAGAGTTTAGGTTGTGATGGTGGACTTAATGGTTGCCTGTTTTTATGTAACTGATTCCCAGTGTGGTGTAGTGGATAGAATGTCACCATTTATCACATAAACAGAGCAGCTCACACTCAATCTCTCCTCTGCCTTATCATACAACTATGGGATTGGTGTGTCCTGAAGCACATATTCCCCATGATTATTCCTGTGACAGGGAAGAACAATGGACAGACAGAAGCCTTGCATCGGCAAAGGACTTGGGTTCACCAGCGGCAGTTCCCCAATAGGATCTTGCTCACTCTTGTTTACAGTTCAGGAGCCCCAACTGGATCTGTTTGCCATATGAGCTGATTGGAAGTGGAGATGGTCAAGAATTTTCTAAGGGCCTTAACAACTTATACTTGATTGTTCAGGCTCTGGCTTCTCCGTGGTCACACTGTTTCTCCATCAACTTAAGAGTCCACCTTTTGAGCCTTTGGCCTCAGCAAATCTCTGGTTGTTGATCTTCAAGATGGTCTTCCTGTCATCCATAACTTTGGCATGGATGGCTAGCAAGCTGTGTGGATTGACACACAATCCCTCTTCTCTGCAGTTTTATAAAGGTTATAAAGGTGTTTCCTGACTTATTCCTACCTAAAGCAGTTTTGGACTTCCACCTTAACTAGCCATTAGTTTTGCCTATTTTCTTTCCATCTCTGACACTGGACTTGGAGAGAGCCCTACAATCCCTGGATGTGTGCAGGGCTTTGGTTTCCTACATTTCACAGACTGGACGATTTTGGCAGATGGTCAAACACCTTGTCTGCTACCAGGTTCCCAAGTAGAGCCAATCTGTCTTGCCCCAGTGTTTGTCAAAATGAATAGTGACTGCTGTTACCTTGGCTTACCCATTGAGAGATAAGCCACTGCCTGATATCCTCCACAGGAACTCCATGAGTGTGATTGCTACTTCTGTTGCATTCCTGGGTGGTGTTCATTTGCTGGATATCTGCAGAGCCACCACACAGTCGTGACTGTTGACATTTGTGAGGCACTGTCAGCTGGAAGTGAGAGCTAAACTCGATGCCTCCTTTGGAAGAGCTGTCCTCTTATCTCTACTGATGTAACAACCCTTCACTGAGCAAGTGAGCTAGCTAGTTATCCAATGCGTGACTCCCAGAGACCATAATTAAGAAGGACAAGTTATTTATCTGAAACTAGTTCTTTGCATGGTCATCTGTGAATTCACACATTCCTGCCCTCCTCTCATCTCTATATATCACACGCACACACACACACACACACTTGTGGTCAGCAGTGGATGATGGAGAACTGAGGAGGACCAACGGAGAGAGCATGCCTACTGAAGGGGTGGTGGTGGAGTCTTTTGGTGTTACCTATTTCTAGACGTTTCTGAGGATTGTTATGGAAGCACTAAGAGTACCCAGTGAGTGAATTCACAAATGACTGCTCAAAAAAACCCCACAACCTATAGTTACAGGTAAATAATCTATCCATCTGATGGTCGTTGTGGGTTTTTCGGGCTCTTTGGCCATGTTCTGAAGGTTGTTCTTCTTGATGTTTCACCAGTTTCTGTGGCCGACATCTTCAGAGGACTGGAGTAGGAACTCTGTCCATGCTCTGTTGCTGTTTGTTGGATAGTTGAGTATTTATAGCTATCCAACAAACAGCAATAGAGCATGGACAGAGTTCCGACTACAGTCCTCTGAAGATGCCGGCCACAGAGACTGGTGAAACGTCAGGAAGAACAACCTTCAGAACACGGCCAAAGAGCCTGAAAAACCCACAGCAACCATCAGATCCCGGCCGTGAAAGCCTTCGAGAATACAATCTATCCATCTCTAAGACAGAAAATACGGTGTAACAAGGTTTTGTAGAAGATATCAGTGGAAGCCTATTGCAGTATACGGCTATTCTGTACACTCTGCTAGAAATTGTAAGACTGTAAGGATAGAGTAAATTGGGTGTGTGTGTGTGTGAAGGTAGCGAATTCTCAAAAATAAAATAACCTTTCACTGCAAAGCAACAATTACTTGACTTTATTTAATTGGGAAAAATAGATTAAAAATATATTTTCCTGGGAAAAATAGGATGCACTGTGTGGATATGAGACATATGAAATTTACTGTAAACTATGATTGTTCTAAAACATAACTTAAGATGTCTTGGTTAACTAAAAAACTATTTTGACAGATCAGAATGTTTTATTTTGTGAATCTAATTTAATTGCAACATTGATCCATAGGAATCAATTGGTTATTGTAAGCTGCATCCATAGTTAATTGATTAAATTAAATTGCAGAATAATATTTTTCTTCTTAGCAAGTACAAATATGCTAAATTCTTCTGTTTTATTAAATATATATGAATTCCAATGAAAACATTGTTTAAAATCCAGCATTCTGAACCATATGAATTTTTATAAATTACCTTACCGAGGAGGCTATCTACAATCTTGTAAAACTGGGCTCATTACTATTGTTTTTTGTTTGCTAGTTTTCTTCCCCGAAGACTGGTTTGTTAAAGATGCAGCAGTTAAGATATTATCTCCATCACTGATAGTGAAATCAGTGGCATTGTAGCTTAACCTTTCGCAATTTGGTATGTTGGATTGAGCTGAAAAGTATGTATGCTTTGGATTAGTGCAGTTTTACATTTGCCTCTCTGGTTCATTGCCTTTAGTGTTCATGAAGGAATACCAGTGAATTCTGTTTATAAAATTAGATCACTCTCTAGTTATATGCATATTATCCTGCATGGAAACACGTTTGGATAGTTCCGTTAGATGGTTAATTTCTATGTTTTCCTTGTACTTTGGGGTAGTCTTCATGTCTCTGCATTACTCATCTAGATAATGGGCTATTACATTCTAATCTGTTGCAATTGGAGAAAGCTACCACAACCATTGAAAGACATACAATTCTGGATATTTTCTTACGATATAAATACTTTTTTATTCAGAGTATGCTAGTAGCATGTGTCAGTGGCACCATTCAAATACTTTTTAGCTGATAGCTGTTAAATAGGTGACAAGTGTATGTTGGATGGTAATGGTTTTCAAAAGCTTTACAAATTCTTTCCCATGATGTCTTTTTCTTAGGGTATGTACATTAAATCAACATATGATGGTCTCCATGTTATTACTGGGACAACAGAAAATGTAAGTATTGTTAATGAAGTCTGGTGAGGTCTGGAGCCTTTTTCACCCTAATTTTGGATTATGCTTCCTCCCTTGCTTGCATACCTGTGTGTTAAATGCAAAGGACAAGCATGTTTGGGGGAGGATGGGCTGCACGGGGGGGCGGGGATCTTGAAAGAACTTGTATTAAACTAGTAGGAAAGTTGTCTGTAAGTATAGTCTTGGAATTGTGATCTTGTTCAGGAAAGGAAAATGTCTTGCTTTCGTATTTTGCCGTGAATTAAAAATAGAAGTTTTAAATATGCATAATATTTTGCGCTGGAGATTTCAGTGGTGCAATTAATTCTGTTTCCATCTTAATTATTTGCTTTTTTTGCTGGAAATAAAATGTGTTAAGGTAGTAAAATCTCTTATAAATGATAGAATTTTTCTCTTCTTGATTTTTTTGACTTGGGTCTTAGAGACTAATGCCACAGTGTACATATTATACCTTTAAAAGTGCTTGAGAAATCTTAGACATTTGTTCTTTTCATGGAGGTGTCTATGTGTGAAGAAGTTGTGCTCCTGACACCCATTACACTAATATTTCAGAGATGTTCCCTAGCTTCCATGAAAGCATAGATACTATCCTGTTTAGAAGAAACCAGGCAGTAAAACATTAGAGGTCCAACTCTAATAATAAACTTAGCATAGAGGGTCCTTTTTCCCATAGTCCAACAGAAAAAAGGTCCTCTCCTCCAGATAATAAAGTTCAACTCACTAAAATTACCTGTACTCATTCTTTTCATCTTAATGACTGCAGGAGAGTGCCTAGTTAACACACATAATCCAGAATCTGTCCAAATGTGTGCACATACACTCACACACATCCTCTACTTCTTTAATCACAACTTTGTTAAAACTGTAGGAATGGAAGGTGCCTCACACTGACAAATCTGTCTGAGGTTTATATCTGTGAAGATTCTCAGTCATCCAAGTGAGGTTATCTAGAAGTTGAGTCATAGAAACTGGACTTCTTTCTTGTTAGGTTGAAATGTTTCACTGCTCATTAGAGATGGGGGTATCCGTATTTGTATACGAATAGGAATTACACCCCCTCAACAGGTGGAGATAATGAGGGAACCCTGATGCAGGCTCTGGGTTCTCTTCCTATTGCTCCAGAGCTCGTGGAGGATTAGCCACTCCTGGCAGGAGGTGGGATGATGAGCCTCTCTGATAGGTCAGAGACTGGCTAATCCACTGTGAGCTCTGGACTGATAGGAAGAGAGTGTGGAGCCCGCAGCAGCACACTCTTGTTACCTCCACCTTTGGGGGAGTATCCGTATACCCCCATCTCTACTAGTTATCCAAGTGTCTTCTTCAGTCCGGGACTCAAGAAGCTACTTGGATGAGTAGCAAAACCTTGCAACCTAACTTCCAGATTGTCTGGGTTTTCATTGCATCTCATCCACATGGTTGATCCATGTGCTTTATTAAGGCCCTATGTTAGTTGGTGTGTGGGTGGAGAACCACACAAATCATTACAGCTGCAGAGTGACAAATTTACAACTAAGCTGAATATTTTCCACACATTGGATGGTTTCACATAGCGATGTTTTTTTTGGAACGAATTAACATCGCTATGCGAGGCACCACTGTATTTTCCACACATTGGCCACTTTACTTCTTTAAATTGTGAACAGTAACCATATTATAGTAATACATATTATAAGGCCTTCTGCTCATTTGCCTGTTTCAAAGGCATAGAGGTCTGTAGGTTATTGCTGTCGGTGTTGTTTGATCTATAGTGCTTGTGAATCTTTTTTTTTTTAAAGAACAATCATTTTAATTTGTGACATCTCTTCAGAAATCATGTTTATTTGGGAGAAAATAAAGATAGGTCTTTCTAATTTGGTATTAATAGTTACTGCACAGTCTTTAGTGATTGTAGTCTGACAGGATTGGATGTAGTTGCTTGAAGCAAATGCTGTCCTAAAGTGTTCCTGTATAACTAAGCTTATTTATGTCAGAATGACAGTTGCAGTATTTCGAAAACAAATAGACAACTCCCGAGTCAGGATATTTGTATGGCCTTGCTCTACCATGTTACATTCTGATTTCTTGGCTGAAGTGCTGTTCTGTAAGTTATGCTACATAAGGCTAATTTCTGGTTTCCCCAAAGGTCCCAAGGACCGAGCTGAGTGCCTTTCATCATAGAGAAGCTATATGGAGCCATAGGCTGGGGGTAGGGGGAGTCTCTAATTTCTGAAAATCATGTTACCACTGCAGTGACTTTACTGCCACCACCAATTTTCAGAAAGCAAAGACTTCCCTTGTCCCAATGGCTCCCAACAACTCCCTCACAACAAAGGGGATTCCTTGGGACCCTGAGGAACTTCAAGGGGGGATTGAAAATGTTTTATTTCTGGAAAGTCGCTGTGACTCATTAATAGGGATGTGACTTTGAGGTTGCCACAAAAGAGAAAAAGGCTCTCATTTTCATTTTGTGATTCTTTTGTTACATTCTGAAAGACAGCCTCTGAAATCTGAATGCTTCATTTGAATGAAAAAGAGGATCACAGAACATTTGATTTTTGTTCATCTTTCCCTCTTTCATTTGCCCTTTCCTTCACCTTCTATTTGTTAAATTGCCTGAGCAAGGTTTAATCAAACAATGTAATGAAGGCTGCTGTCAGCTGCCAATTAAAACATCCAAGAGATGGAATTTTGAGTTGTAGAAGGGCCTGGATTACTTGGAATCTTTTTTCTTCAGTCCTTCGTTGTGGGTGGGATCTGTGTGCTGGTGAGCTCCGTGATTGTGCTCTCTGTCCCTATGGATCCTTTATGCATTTTTAATGCCCTCCATCACTTTTTAGGATTATATATTCTACTGCTGCCAGGCAGTCTTGCCTGTGGTACGAGCATACCTTCTTGAGACTATTTTTTGGATCCCCTCTCCCGCTTTGATTCCTGGATTATTTTTTCCCTTTCCCTTTTCTTGGATTATTTTTACTGGCCGCTACTGCATGCTAGTGGTGGACTCAAGGAAGAGGAAAGAAGATAGAGCAATAGTAGGAGAAGAGAAATCTCCCCATATTCTGTTTGTTTTGGTGTGGCATTTGGTATAGCATTGACTATATTATTGCCTTTATTTGCATGTTCGTACCATGCTTTTTTATTAGTTAATGGGAGAGGAGATGGTACGTAGTTTTTCGTGTTTTTTGCCTTTTTTTTAAAAAAAGAAGGATGGTGTGTGTATGTTTTATTTTGCCATTTTCCCCCTGAGTGTGTGTATGTGTGTGCATGGGTGTGTGTTTTTTTAAATTATACTTGATAATTTACTGCCCAGCTCATCCCTGCTTTATAATAGTATTTAATAGTATTTTAAGGGTTCTTTAGAGCTTTTGGATGAGTATCAGATAGAACCTGAACCTAAAAGAGCCAGTCTGTTTCAAGTTTGATAAAGGGACCTGCACCTGAAAGACTCAAGAACAAATGAGGCACCACTTGAAAGGACCTAAAACGAATCCAACACAGACCTTTTCCCTGTGCAAATTCTTAGGCATCAGTACAGCATAGCTGGTGTGAACAGGATTTCAGCCTATGAGCTTGTTACACAGAAGTAAAGGTTTTCTGTTATGAGCTATCAAAATAAATTTTTGCTCAGTTACATTTTTGTATTATTTTGTTATTTGTGAAGCAAATGGGAACAATTCTGCATGGTGCATGGAATGAATAAATGAGAAGAATATGTATTAAGAGCTGTCTTTGGAAAAAATTATTATTAGACTTTTGAGAGGAACCCATGAAACCCTCAAACAACTTACAGCCAACAGAACTATCTGTTTGGTGATAGCAGACAGAATGGGCCAGAGGCATACTCTGAGTTTTAATGTTTGTTATTTTTGGAACATGTATTTATATGTGTGCACATGATGAATACTGCAGTTTATAGCCAGTCTACTAGTATAACTGATTTGCAACTGTTTTAATTAGTAAGACTCACTTGAATGATAAGATGTTAGATAATTTTTAAAAAGTATACAGTATAGAAAGATTCATCAGAGAAGAGTACTTTGCCTCTGAGGCAATACTCACATGTATAAGCTAAAAATCAAAAGGTGTGCTTTTTTGTTCAAAACGGTTTATTCATGTGGAAATGCACTGTGACTGAAGTATATACAAATAATCCAGGGAAACAGGCACGTTAGTCTGCAATCCTCTGCAGTAAAAGCCAATAGAGACTTTTGTAACACATTATAAACTGACAAGTGGTGGGTTTTTTTGGAGGGGGGGAGGTTGGCAGACGTTTTTGTGCATTGTAGCATCTGAAAAAATGGATCTTGTTGGTCATTATAGTGCCGTGAGAATCTTTTTGCTGAAACAAGTATTATACAAAGAAGGAGCCTCAAGGGGCAGTGGTTAAACTGCAGTACTACATCCAAGAGTCTGCTTCAATCCCTGAGTTCAATCCCAGGTAGCCAACTCGAGGATGACTCAGATTTCCATCCCTCAGAAGTTGGTAATCTGAGTATCCAGCTTCCTGGAGGTCGGGTGGGGAATGTTTAGCCTGCATAATTAAATTGTAAACTGCCCAGAGAGTGCTTTAAGTGCTAATGGCCAGTATATAATCAGTGTGCTTTGCTTTGTGTGCTTTGCTTAAGATACTGAATTGAGTGGCAGCCCACTATTTAAAAGTAAGAATTCAGCTGTTTGATTTAGTTTGATTAATTTCAGTAGGGTCTGGTGATGCTTCAGTGTCTTTTGAATACAAAAATATTACATTTTAATCTACAAACTTAGTCCAGTCTATAATTGAGGATACAATCCACCCAAAGTTAAACTTCCGTGATTTTAACTTGAAGATGTTAGTGCATTCCAAATTTCCTGTTGAATCATTTAAGCTTAAAAGTGCTTACCTTTGTGTTTTATCCTCACTGTTCTGTATTATCACTGCATTTTTAGAAATCATCCAGTTTTTACAGGACAACTTTAGCAGTAGGTGCTGAAATAAATGCTTTATAATAACAACTTGTGAACTTTCTGTTTTCTGATTATCCAGCAAAAAGCATTCTGACAAAGGAAATGTGTGTGTTGTTAGAAGATTAATATTTTATAAGCTTCATGGCAGTTATATTTTGGGCCTTCTCAAATATTATTGAAATACATTGATTTGAACTTGGGGTACATTATATACACCTTTATCACTTGTGGAAAATTTTCAATTTTAATTGTAGAATGTTTTATACAAATGGTTTTCAGACTTGCCATATTGTGGGGACCTTTTCTATACTGATATGACTGCTTAGGGAATTTCTTTGTTTTATAGATGATCCAGAAGTATTTCTAGGATTTCTTTTCAGTTGGCATTTGTGCCCTTTTTGTCTACTATGAATAGTATGCATCAGTGCTTCCCTTGTATAGTATAGAAGATCAATAACAGCAGCTGGCTTTTGAACAGCTCATAGGGATGGCTGAACACCACCCTCCTTGATTTACAGAATCTTCAATGTTTTGTGACCATCTTCTTCTAGAGGTTTTATGGGTGCTTGTAATTATGCTACAGTGTGGACAGTCCCACTTTGCACAAGCTGTAGTAAAACCATGTATTTCTGTGTTGTGATTTTGTGGCCCAAGTCTGTGTAATTCCCTGCCAAAGTTGTTGATAAAGTTCCCAATAGACCTCATAGTTAGGGAATGATGCTTCAGCTGTAATACCTTTATCCAGTACCATGAAAACAGATCTTCTGTTCTTCACAGGACTCAAATCTAGTTCCTAAGGCATAGGAAGAGGATTAGCATCAACGTTAGAAACAAGATGAACAAAACTAAGAGGCTTATTGAAGGAATTACTATATCTGCACAAAGGAATAAGGTGACATTCCTCAAATTATAGGCTATGATTGCTCAAATTACTGATTAGATATATTTGGTTACAGTCCATGACATGTAAAAGTCCTCCTCAGCTAAGGAGCTTTCAACAGCTTTTTTCACAGACCAGATTTCTCTGCATTCCATTCCAGTTAGTCCCTCAGACCCAGGAATGGATGCTGTATAGCCATCTCCTTCCAGCTTTTACTGTTGCCATTGTCTTCTAGGATTATTCTCTCCGAAGAACTACTTCCTGAATTTCCCTCCTGTACTTCTGCCTGAAACTTTCTAGTATTGGTTTCTGAAGCTTGAAGCTTCGCTACAACTTCCCAGCTTAGCTTCCAGCCAGTAACTCTGGTTTTAAATAAAGATTTATTACTACAATGTTACAATATATTACAGTATTACAGAATATTACAATATTAGCCAAGGTTTCTTAGGTCATTATCAAATGTAAAACACACTGCAACGACTGTTGCAGTCGTTGCATAAGAAGCTTGTGCTTCTTTTGTTTCTCCCCAGAAGAAACTTATCTTTCATAATAGCCACAGAACAGCACAGCTAGGTTTCCAGATTTAGATCTAGATCTTGTATATCTGTACCATCTCTCTCTAAATGCTCTGAAAAACACATATTTTACATAAAAGTTCATGCATGCAAAACATACCAACAAATATAAATACAATTTTCCTTCACAGTGGTTGATGGACCTACTTATACTCCCCATTTCTGAGCCCTCTTTTTCCATGGTAGAAGTTGTGACTACCACCAGCTGCTGCCCGATTCACTTGCGATACTCTTCTCTGAGAATGATTACTGTAGGAAGGCAGTCTATTGAATGAGCCTCCCACTGGCTGCAAATGATGTGCAGCACATTCCTTCTGCAGAATTATGGAAGTCCTAGTGCAGCAAATGATGCTTCAAGAACACTGTTTGCATAATTCGTTGCCATTAGCTATGTTTTCACTGAGGAATCCCTGATAAGCTTCCAAGGCACCCCAGTGTTTATTGAAGCACAGTCCGAAAATGACTGGTATGGTTTTCATATATTATATGAATACATATTTTACCCCTTTAGTTTAATCTTCTAGACAAAAGAAGCTAGGGTCAGTGTTGAGACCGAAATCTTGTTTGAGAGATTGGTCATTCTTAATCAACATGCCACCAATGGTCTTTAATAAGCATCATTTGCTACAAAGCTCATCTCTGCTGCAACAGTGAAGGAGGTTTGTCATTTAAGTTTAGGAGGTTTTCCATTTGAGCTGATTGATTTCCTCACCCCTCCCGTGAAGGAAAGTTACGTAATTGTTGAAATAGTTAAGGTTACTAGAAATGACTAAAGTACTTAACTAACTTTTTTTTTTTTTGCATGGCTATTTCAAACGGTCACTGCCACTGCCACAGTATGATGGACACTCTTAATTTCGTATGGTTGTCTCCAGGCTTGTTCCTGTATTAACATTCCAGTTTTAATATTGTTAGATAAGACATTGTGCTGTGCTGTAGCAGTTGCATTCTTTATATTTTAAAACTTCAAAAGATTTTTTTTTAATAAATCTTTTACTTATTGGAAAATATACAGAACTAATACAGTGCGCATGGCTTAGCAACCTTGCTTTTGCAAAAGGAGAGATGATAGCTAGTAAGGACTGTATTCTTTATCATCTCTTTTATTTTAAATTCAGTCACCTGCAGATCGATGTAAGAAAATCCATGCTGGAGATGAAGTGATTCAAGTTAACCACCAAACTGTGGTATGTATAACTAATTCTGTATCACTTGGAGATTAAGACACTTTAGCTTATCAGCAGCATATGTTCAAATGTTTTATGTTTCATAATTTTATTAGTGTTTGCATGAGAGATCTCTAAAAATATTTTGTTATTTTTGTATATTAAGAAATAATATGAAAGGAAACTATTCCAAGGAAACTATTTCTAAAACTAACAGATATGTCATGTATTCTACAGGTATGCAGATATGTGCTTGGGAAATTCTGGGAGAACCAGTCTGAAAGCACAAATCTGCTGATCTCTGATATATTCTGACAGTAAATTCAGATAGTTGAATGTCTACCTGAATTCACTAGTCTGGTAGCATTAATGGAGCTACCAAAACCATTAGTAGATATACAAAGTCTATAGATTTGTGAGCTTCTGGTTTTGTTTTGTTTTGCTTTGTTTTGCTTTCCTTGTTTTTTGTAAAAGCCAAAATGACTTGAGAAGGAGCTGTGAGCTTTTAGGGCATGTAGAATAAATATCTAATTGGCAAATGAGAGAGAACGGAGGAAATATATGGGAACGAGTTAAGGCTAGGATAAGAGAATGACCCTGCTCAGGCCTTTCCAGTTAAGAAAAATATTGTAGGTAAATACATTTTTCTTAATTGGAAAGGCCTGAGCAGGGCAACTGAGGGGAAGATGAGGACACTGAGAGGTTTTTCAATGTTGCTTCCCTAAACTGTAAAAAGAAAGAAAGATCGCCCTTTCCTTTCCCCTTCTCCAGGAGCATGTCTGGAGTTACCATGCTTTTGTTGAGATGGCAGCCATCCTTAAATTTGAGCTTTCCAGTACTGTGTATCTCGCCAAAGTGTCCTTTTGTTTTTCTGCCTTGGCACTTACTTTCTGCCCCCAAACCTTATGAGGCTACAAGGCTCCTTATACTGCAACACTGTGCTTTCTAATTAATTATGAGTGAGAAATGTCCCTACAGGAAAAAGTTGAACATTCTTATGCACTCATAGAACTATAATTTCCATAATGGAAATTGTGTTGTGGATCAGTGATGGTTTGCAGTGCAGCAGTAGGTTACACAGTGAACAATAGTTTACTATAATGTACAACAGGTACTCTCCCAATCCCTTAGGAATGTGGCTTTATAGATATGTGCCCAATATATTTGCTCATATCTATTATATTATAATCTAGAAATGAAGTCAGGCAGAAGGAATTGCCAAAGATGGGAAAAGTTAGCCTTTTCTGGACTAAAATTTCCAGAATAATAATGTCAGTTCTCCGAGTTGTAGTAAAAAAAAAAGTACCCTTCCCATCTCGCTGCCTATGAGAGCTGTGCATTTCAGAACATTATAGGGTGTGGAATACGAACATACATTAGCTTTTCCCTTCTGGTGGCATTTTGTTATACAGTCTATGTGAGGAGTGTTTCAAAGTAAATAAATTGAAGAAATAGTGATGTGGAAAAAAAAACATTCATTAGGAAAGTGAAATGGGTTTTTGAGGCTGTTACCTGTACCTCAGCCTTCTGTGTGGGAAAGGGAATTATACCTGTGTGTGAGGAGAGCAATACTTTAGATGCTAAAATAGCGTATCAGATATATCCTCCTTGTGAAAAGAAATTTTCCCACGTGACAGATTTTTAATGTGATAGTTGTTCCTTGCTGCCACCGGGCATGTAGAAGGGTTAGATGGTGCTGGAGCGGAATGGATATGGACAGTTTTCATCTTGGTTGCATCTTTAATCTCTAAAAACCCATTCTTGGAGAGCAAGGCTGAGAAAGAGACCTGTGGTGATGGAGATAATTGTGAGAAAGTAATCTCCAACAAGGAGGTACACAAGGAGTACATCTAAGACAGAATGGGTTTTCTTTATCGACAGAACCAAGGGACAGGGATTATATTAGGGGAAAAAAATTAATAATAGAAGACTGACTCTCAGAGAAAAGACACTTAACTGAAGGTCTCTGAAAGGGCAAAGTGGCAATATGAGCTAGCCTAGGGTTCACATAGTTGCAGCTAGCCGCTCTTTAAATAACTAGCGACTCACTCCTAATGAGCTAGCTGCTGACAAGGCCTGTGCCTGCTTTGTCCTCTCCCAGGCTCTGTTTTAAGAAACAAGGCATCCCTTTCGAGATAGAGAAAGCAAGACAAAGGTGCTGAACATTTCTTCGGCCTGCTTTGTGTCCTCTCCACTAAATCAAATTAAGATTAATCTCTGTGGCAAATAATGCTTCTAGGCCAGGAGGGGACAGCTTTGGGGGAAGTCAGGGTAATTTTTCAGATTCCTCTATGCTCAAGGGGTAGTTGTTTTGTGGAGGCCAAAACAGGAAGGAGCATGTCCTTTTCATATTCTGTGGATTATTTTATAATTTTTCCATTATACTAAAATTCCCTTATAGTAATGATTAAACCTCGATTAATGATACAATATAGTTTTATTTAAATGATATTTACAGATTTAACTTTAATTGGTTAAATAATATTAATTCATTAAATGAAATTCATTTAAAAAGTAATTAAATTATATCAGACTCATTCACTGACATCAGTTTACTTAAATTACAAAGGCAGCACTGTGCACAGACTACTCAAGCAAGTGAAAAAGCATGAGTGATGGAACTAGCACCAGTAGACAGCAGTTCTGTGAATCCTAGAGGACTGAACCTTAGATAACTGCTGAGACATGGATGAAGAAAAGCAAAATGTATCTAAGGAAGTGGTAGCAGGACATTTTAGGAGGTCACATTCCTAGAGTAGAACCATTGTGTCAACGCTCCTACAATATGCTTGTGAAGATCAGTAGACTGTGCTTTTTGATCTTTTACAAGGATACTCCTTAAAAAGGACCCAAGGCAGCTTACATAATTAGAAGATAATATCTAAAGCTAAAACATTGAGTATGCAATGGTGGCTTAGTTATGAATGTGCAAGAGAAATTGCTGAAAGCAGCTAATTGCAACTAGTTGACAAAGTGCCATACATGTGCTAGGTGTACAATCAGGCATATGACTGACATACATCTGCTATGTCATCAATTAACTGTAGAAACATCTTCAGTTTCTCTTACATGCACAAAACTATCCAGTAGGAATCTTACTGCAGGTCTGTCCGTTTTGAGTTTGAGTCTGGCAGTGTTCAATGAAACTTTCTCCCAAGTAAGTAAGCATATGACTGCAGCTTTTCAAAGGAATCCATTGGTCCCTATTCCACACCAGCATCTGGTATAACACTATGTAACATTAGCATGGCTTAATTTGGATCTCATATACAATGCAGGGGGGGGGAATTGACATTACCTAAGCCAGATAATCTAGTTATTGTTTGCATTCCTCACATTAACACCACAACCCTGTATCAGTTATGTTAGTGGTATGCCAACAATATCCCCTACAGCATCCAGGCTTAGAAAACCCATACCCAGTGACAGTGGCTTATCCCAAGGGCAATGGCAGTGAACCTTTTTGAGCCCAAGTGACCAAACTGAAAAACAACCCCCCCCCAAAAAAAACAGTGGGCGATGGGCTGCAGTTGTGGTGGAACCAGAAGTGGCAGCAGAAGGGGGAATCCTGGGCACGGAGGTGCCTCGAGACCCCACTCCGCATCCACTGCCAGCGCCAGCTGCTCCGGATCCTGGCCTGCCGCCTGTCAAAGGACCAGCACTGCCGCTGCAGCCATCTCCGCAGGTTTGGCTGTGCGGGGGGGGAGTAGCGATCTAGCGACTTATGGCTTGTGTGCCCGCAAAAAGGGGTTTGTGTGCCAGCTGTGGCATGTGTGCCACAGGTTCGCCATCGCTGCCCTCAGGTATCACTCCACTGCATTATTGGAAGATGCAAAATGTTGAACTTTACAGGATTCTAAGTTGTGAAAGCCTCTGTAGTGCAGGCAGTAACAGCACACAATCCAGCAGGTATCAGACTTTCTTCAAAACAAGGTTTGATTCCTTCACAGTCTAAAGACTACTGTAATAACATAAGCAACTGTTAGAACAATCAGTTTGTAAGTACAGGATGCAGTGTCTTTCTAAACTCGTGGTTTCCACTAATTTACTGACGAGATATGAAACAATGTACAGTGATGCCTCGCATAACGAGCGCACCATTTAATGATGAATCCGCATAGCGATGCGGATTTTGAGATTGCTAATGCGATCGCAGACCGATGTTTTATCGCATTGCGATGGGAGAACAGCTGTTTGGCGGTTCCAAAATGGCCACCGGAACACCCAAAATGGCCACCGGAACACCCAAAATGGCCACCGGAACACCCAAAATGGCCACCGGAACACCCAAAATGGCCGCCGGAACATGGGGAAACATCGCAGAACGGTGAGTTTTGGGCCCATTGGGAACGCATTACACAAAGTGTAATGTGTTCCAATGGGCTTTTCCGTTCCGTTTAGCGATGTTTTCCCATAGCGAAGGTTAATCCGGAACGGATTAACCTCGCTATGCGGGACACCACTGTATAAATGTATTTCCGGAACACCCAAAATGGCCGCCGGAACATGGGGAAACATCGCAGAACGGTGAGTTTTGGGCCCATTGGGAACGCATTACACAAAGTGTAATGTGTTCCAATGGGCTTTTCCGTTCCGTTTAGCGATGTTTTCCCATAGCGAAGGTTAATCCGGAACGGGTTAACCTCGCTATGCGGGGCACCACTGTATAAATGCATTTTACACAGAAAATTTTCTATTCAGTACAAACTCATTTAGTAGGATGCTCATCTAGAGAAATGGGACTGTCCTTGTCCTGCCTGGAGATATTCTGATAATTATCAGAATTGCAACAGGTGGAGGGAGGAGTATTAATCTTTGCTGTGATTGTGATGAAGCTGTTGCACATGCTGGGAAAGAGACCTCTCAACTGTGGTTGAAGGCAAAACCATCACAACTTTTATTATTGCTACTACTACCGCCACGAAATAGCAAAATATCTCTTGAAAAGAAATTCAGTTTAAAAACCAGTTTTAAACATTATCATTCTTCTAAAAAACAGAGTGTTTAACAACATGGCCCTG